TCCATGTCATATTTAAGAATTTCATTATTTATTTAATTTAGTCTGTTAAGTCCCTCCATAAACTAATGTTGGATCTATAAAATAATAAATATAACATTAATAAAATTATTATTTTAAAATAATTATAATTGTTTTCTGCTTCAGTAATATTGGTGCATCCCTTATAAATACAACTTAAATAATATGCTCAAACGACAATATATGTATTGCTTTGAATCAAATCTTCATAGGGTTGAAGTCTGATGTTCTTATATAAGAATCGTGATGAGTGTTTTTCTCCTGCAGTGACTCACAGTCAGATGAGTTCAGTCACTGTTTATCATGACGTGTTTGTGGTCTGTTTTTAAAGCATGAAAGAGAGGCTATGTGATTGAGGGAATCCCTAGTGCATGATGGGATATTGGAGGACTCTGGGCAGGGTCAGTATTTGGTCATCTCCATTCAGTTACTTTCAGTCATTGCAGTCTCTCATGGAAGAATAAGAATGGAATGTGAAATGCTCCATTTGTGTTCCAGTATGTCTCATTTCCTGGGATCGCCATCAGAGGCTTGTGTCACTCCAAACTTTTCTGTGTAATACCTTTCGGACAAGGGTGTGAAAAACAGTTCTGAGAAAAAAATAAACTATTCACTTCCACTCTTCCTAATGAGACTTTTCTCTTTTCATTTGACTGTGAGAAGCATTTGTCTTCGATTCACAGTATGTTCAGTTTTTATCCACATTACTGCTTGATTTAACATTTTATTTAAAAAAAATAAAATAATTTAATTCATAATCACATAAGAAAAAATATAACACTTTTTTTAGCACTTATTTCTAACATTTTCAATTGTATTTTTTTCACTCATTCCAGCCCTCATAAGAGTAATATCCAGCCATTTTTAACACTAATTTATAACACTAATATTTTATTTTATAGTTTTGTGTTTTATTTTATTTTACTTTCACTCATTTCAGTCTACATAATAATAATATCCAGTTATTTTTAACATGATTATTTATTTGTTTGTTTTCATTTGTTCCAGCCCACATAAGAATAATCATTTAAATAATTTAAATAATAATAATTAACATTTATTTATAACACTTATTTTATTCTATTTTATTTCAGTCTTATAAGAATAATATCCAATCATTTTTAACATTTATTTATTTATTCACTCTTTTCAGTCCACATAATAATAATATCCAATTATAATTAACAGTTATTTATAACACTGATTTTATTCTATTAAATTTTATTTTATTTCAGGCCTGGTAAGAATAATATCCGATCATTTTTAACACTTGTTTATAACAGTTATTTGTTTGTTTATTTATGTATGTATTTATTTATTTGTTCACTCACTCATTTCAGCCCACATAAGAATAATATCCAAACATTTTTACACTTATTTGTAACACACATATATATATATATATATACATATATAATTTTTTTTTTTTTTTTTTTAAATTTTTTTTTATGTTGTTCAGGGAAATGTGTAGTTAATTTCTAGTGGATGTTTTGTAAAGCTTGTTTGAGTTAGTAACAGAAAGGGAGGTGGATCTTGCTGAATGGTCAATAAATAAAGTCCACACTCAGTTGAGGGTGATCTTTTTCATCCATAACAAGCCAGCTACCTGTTTTCATACTGACAGCAAAGCAACGACACCCAGAATGTGTTTACATTCAAATTAAAGTTCTGTTTTCTAGTAACACCTGATGCTAGCAGGAGAATCAACATTGTTAGTTAAGCTTAAAATGTCTAAATTTAGTCTCTCTTTCTGTCCGTCTCCAGACCACTCCAGCTCCAGCGGCACATTGTCCTTCCAGCCTCTGCGCTCACAAGGTCCCATCCCCACGGCCCACGTCATGCCATCTCCGTCCAGCTCCAAACTCAGTGTGCCCTCTGCCCCCACCAGCCCCTGGAGCAGCTGCCAGCTCCCTTCTCCCCTCGACAGCCCCCTGGACATGAAAGACCCTCGGCCGGTGCGCCGCTGGTCCTCCCTCACCCGTCTTACCGGCCAGGAAAAGTCCACCCTTTCCGGGAGACCGTCGTATGGCACGGATCCGCACGGATCCCTGGATCGAGGTGTGCTCTACGGCTACCGACAGGACCCTCTTTATTCAAACGGCTTTCTCTCTGAGAGCCTGCACAAACTTTCCACCAACTCTGACTTTACTAACTACAACCTGGGCAGCAGTAACACCCTGGGTAAAACGGACTCGTCTTGCTCCTCTCCGCTCAAGCCCAGCACGTTAGACCTCACCTATAGTGCCTTACCAGAGAGCAAGACGCCCACTATGGGCCTGGCCGGGCCCGGACAGAGAGGTCCCACACTCAGGCACCAGGCCGTGGGAGGGTCGCCCATCCAGCCGGCCGTAAGGACTCAGATGTGGCTGAGCGAGCAGATGGAGTACCGGCCGGGACCAGAGGGATGTGGCTCGTGGCAGCAGGAACAACAGCAGCGAGAGCGACTACGACAGGAAGCAGAACTCCCACAGGTCAGTTTGCAATTGCTTTGACAGGAAATGCAAAGATGGAAAAATGCAGAATTGTTTTTACCGAACAAATGAAGAAATGTCTTGTAAAAGTAGGTTTACAGCGCCCTCTGCTGGAGAGACAAGGTAAGGGCGAATTATCCTTCTGTTTACAGCAGAAGCCACAGAAAAAATGTCAGGGCTTGCCTACGCAAATTTGCTTCATTTATCAGACTCATGTCTTTTTTCAAATACCACATCAATTTGTGTTTGAGATGTTCCAGATTACATCCACACCAGTGTTATTTTAATAATAATTAAATATTATTATAGCATTTATTAATTATTTGTTAATTAAATTTTTAGGTTTTATTTTAATTCAATTTTAGTTTAGGTTTTATTATTTTTGCTTACTTTTGTCATTTTGATATTTTTTTTCATTATATGTATTTTTAATAGTTAGATTTAGCTTTCATTTTATTTTAGTTTATTCAAACTTATTTTATTATTTAAACTTTATTTCAGTTAGTTGCCAAGGCAACATTTCTAATGTATTTTTTATTTTTTTATTTTTTATTTTTTCATCTAATATTTATATTTTATTTCAGCTTTATTTCCATATGGCTCATCCCTTAGTTTGTAAAAATAAACACTTACACTTTCAATGGATGTCAACTGGGCAGCCAGTGCACCAGAATAAACATAAAAATCCACACAGTTTCAAAATATATTGAGAGGACTTAAACATTATCTGTGAATATGAGGCTAGTGTGATAAGATCGCTAATGAACCTTGTTCAGACTAAACAACAACAAAATATTCTCTCCGTTTGGCTAGTAGTTCAAATTTCTAACATTTTCACACCTCCTAACATTTTCATTTTTAAAAAAATGTACATTTAGAATAATGAATTTAAATTTACCTTAGATAGATAGGTCCATTTTGATTTCATGTTGATTGTGGTGGTCTTTGACGAGTGTCTGTTTTTAGTAATAAAGACCCAGTGTTTGTTCCAAATGGACTCTGCAGGACTTGAATATTTGCTGATATCTTTGATATGCTTTGCTTGAGACTCGAAATGTCTTATTCAGCTCACAAAGATACACAAAAACATATTGTTATCAGAGCAAGTGTTTTATTTGCAGTGCTTGCTTTATTTGTCCAAGTGTCTGCACTGCACCGCAATTCCTTCCCATTTATGAGTATTATTTCATAAATATATTCACACAGATATTAACAACAACACAGTGATTGTATAAATAATATATAAAGATTACATTTTTTGGATTATATTATAGGCAAACCAGTGCATATTCTTATTAAAATGATAACCGTGTCAATTATGAGATACATCTTATAAGGAATGCATATCTAAAGCTTTTATTGCAGGAAAAAATGCATGTTGTATTTGTAAGTATAGTGTCAGTGGTGTTGTGTGATTTGAAAGCTCACCAATATTTTCCACTGTACTTCATTTAACTATGTACTTAAATCCAAACCTGCTGTTCACAGAAAAAGAATCTCATTTTGAGGTTATGGGATTGTGTTGTTGTTTTTGAGCGCAGTAAGAGGCAGCAAACTCTAGAGGGCGCAGTGACATTGTAAGCAAAACATGCATCTACTTCCTGTCACTGTTTTAAAGCATCCGTTTATTTTGAACAAAAAAATATAGCAGCATTTTTGATCCGTTATCAAGTTTGGAATTTTTTATAATGTTTTATTGATTTATTATTATTTATTTATTTTTGTATTTACCTTACTCCTCCATTAAGCTCTAGCAAAGCGTGTATTGTAGGTTAAAGGTGTTGTAACTGATATTTTTTTAACACCAGACTAGCATTTATTAATTATTTGTTAATTAAATTTTTAGGTTTTATTTTAATTCAATTTTAGTTTAGGTTTTATTATTTTTGCTTACTTTTGTCATTTTGATATTTTTTTTCATTATATGTATTTTTAATAGTTAGATTTAGCTTTCATTTTATTTTAGTTTATTCAAACTTATTTTATTATTTAAACTTTATTTCAGTTAGTTGCCAAGGCAACATTTCTAATGTATTTTTTATTTTTTTATTTTTTATTTTTTCATCTAATATTTATATTTTATTTCAGCTTTATTTCCATATGGCTCATCCCTTAGTTTGTAAAAATAAACACTTACACTTTCAATGGATGTCAACTGGGCAGCCAGTGCACCAGAATAAACATAAAAATCCACACAGTTTCAAAATATATTGAGAGGACTTAAACATTATCTGTGAATATGAGGCTAGTGTGATAAGATCGCTAATGAACCTTGTTCAGACTAAACAACAACAAAATATTCTCTCCGTTTGGCTAGTAGTTCAAATTTCTAACATTTTCACACCTCCTAACATTTTCATTTTTAAAAAAATGTACATTTAGAATAATGAATTTAAATTTACCTTAGATAGATAGGTCCATTTTGATTTCATGTTGATTGTGGTGGTCTTTGACGAGTGTCTGTTTTTAGTAATAAAGACCCAGTGTTTGTTCCAAATGGACTCTGCAGGACTTGAATATTTGCTGATATCTTTGATATGCTTTGCTTGAGACTCGAAATGTCTTATTCAGCTCACAAAGATACACAAAAACATATTGTTATCAGAGCAAGTGTTTTATTTGCAGTGCTTGCTTTATTTGTCCAAGTGTCTGCACTGCACCGCAATTCCTTCCCATTTATGAGTATTATTTCATAAATATATTCACACAGATATTAACAACAACACAGTGATTGTATAAATAATATATAAAGATTACATTTTTTGGATTATATTATAGGCAAACCAGTGCATATTCTTATTAAAATGATAACCGTGTCAATTATGAGATACATCTTATAAGGAATGCATATCTAAAGCTTTTATTGCAGGAAAAAATGCATGTTGTATTTGTAAGTATAGTGTCAGTGGTGTTGTGTGATTTGAAAGCTCACCAATATTTTCCACTGTACTTCATTTAACTATGTACTTAAATCCAAACCTGCTGTTCACAGAAAAAGAATCTCATTTTGAGGTTATGGGATTGTGTTGTTGTTTTTGAGCGCAGTAAGAGGCAGCAAACTCTAGAGGGCGCAGTGACATTGTAAGCAAAACATGCATCTACTTCCTGTCACTGTTTTAAAGCATCCGTTTATTTTGAACAAAAAAATATAGCAGCATTTTTGATCCGTTATCAAGTTTGGAATTTTTTATAATGTTTTATTGATTTATTATTATTATTATTATTTTAGTATTTACCTTACTCCTCCATTAAGCTCTAGCAAAGCGTGTATTGTAGGTTAAAGGTGTTGTAACTGATATTTTTTTAACACCAGACTTTCAAAACATCCCTTCTATCTGATTCAAATGAGTGAAATATGTGTCCTCCTGAGAAATAGTCAGAGGAACCGCCAACATCAGAAAACTAGCCAATCAGAAACATTCTCTGCCTGTCAGTCATTTTGCACAGGTCTGTCTGGTGTGTAGTTGAAGTTGGAAAAATTATAATGTCATGTAAGGCATCTTTAAAATGGTTTTGGAGGTAGAGAGAGTGGGAGTCTCTGAAACATACGTCCCTCTTATACCCATTATTCTTGTTTCTGGCCATTTTCGCATCACATGAGCCTGACCAGAATGAGCATGAGCAGTAGAGCCACTACAATAAGCAGGAAGTTGAGCAGCAGGTTTAGTCCTCGGTTATTGATCATATCCATATTGATGGGATGGAGGTTGGCAGGGTTGTTCGGGTTCAGCTGTGGCGTCGTGTAGCCCGAGTGTGTTCGGCCCCAAGTGGAGGTGGTTCTTGTTTGCCAAGTTAAAGGAGGATGAGCAGGTTACATCACGCTGGTCTCTCACATGCCGTGGAAGGAGCTAAACATGATTGACAGACTGACATGAGCGTTGCTGACAAGACAGAGTCATATAAACAACAACAATAACTGGTTCTCTTGGGTGTTAGGTCTCATTGACTAGTAAACCAGCTTAATTCTGGTTTTGATTGTTTAACTGAATTAGTACAGTGGGAGTGTCAGTCAAAACAGAAACTGCACACTTTTTATTGCACACAAGTGATCGTGTAATGTTTTTATTGAGCAAGTGTTTTTCAGTTTGGCACAGTGTGGAACAGAAGACGGGGCTCAGTCAAAATCCCTCAGGCCCACAGGTGACATGCAGTGATGGGATGGTGACAGACACACGGGGAGACACTTGCATGCAGCATAAGTTGACAGTGAAGGCTGGTCAGTTCTTCAAATCCCCAGAAAACTAATTCCTAATAAATTGTGCTGTACACTAATGTCCAAAAGGTTGGGGCCGGTAAGATTTAAAGTCTCTAATGCTCACATAGGTTGCATTTATTTGTTCAAAAATACAGTAAAAAGTAATATTAATTTAAAAAACTGTTTTCTGTTTTCATATATTTTGAAAAATATTTTTTATTTCTATGAGTTTTCAGCATCATTACTCCAGTCTTCATTGTCACATGATCCTTCAGAAATCATTCTAATATGCCGAGTTGGTGCTCAAGAAACATTTTTATCATCAGTTGTGCTGCTTAATATTTTTTGTGGAAACAGTGATACATTTTTTTTAATTAATAGAAATAAAAAAACAGCATTTATTTGAAATACCTTTTTGTATAACATTATAAATCTCTTTACTGTAACTTTTGATAAATGTGTATTGCATCTATGCTGAACAAAAGTTTTCATTTCTTTAAAAAAATAAATAGAAACAGAACTTGCTGAACTTATTTTTAGTATTAATTAAATATATGTTTAATTATACTCAGTATTTAAATTGTCTTCATTGTCACATGATCCTTCAGAAATCATTCTAATATGCCGAGTTGGTGCTCAAGAAACATTTTTATCATCAGTTGTGCTGCTTAATATTTTTTGTGGAAACAGTGATACATTTTTTTTAATTAATAGAAATAAAAAAACATTAATTTGCATTTATTTGAAATACCTTTTTGTGTAACATTATAAATCTCTTTACTGTAACTTTTGATAAATGTGTATTGCATCTATGCTGAACAAAAGTTTTCATTTCTTTAAAAAAATAAATAGAAACAGAACTTGCTGAACTTACTTTTAGTATTAAATTAAATATATGTTTAATTATACTCAGTATTTAAATGTACTTTATTAATTTTGCCTCATCCGCTGTCTTGGATTTACTTTCTCACAATGGCACAGTGCATTAAAAAATTTGGCTTTTCTGGTTAGGATACATGCATTTGGCCCAAATTAAATTAAATGATGTAATTAAATTGTGTGAGACATTATTAAATATATATTTGCATTTTAATAATCTGAATCTAGTTATTGAAATTGGCAACTTCCACTAAAACCCATATTGTTTAACCACTAGTTCATATCAGTATTGCCTTTCTTGTGTTACTCTGAATGTGCTATTTACAAACAAATTGTTTAGACAGAAATCATGCCGTGTACAACCCAACTACTCAAAAGCCTCTATAAAATAATAAATAGCCACGCCCATCCCACCCCTCAACGCGATTGGCCCCTCTGTACAGTGCTTTCCCCTCATTGGCTAGAGGGAAACCTGTGGCCCCTCCCGCTCACATTAGCAAGACAATGATGTAGATGAGCAGCAGGCAGATGAGGATGAGGCAGAAGTTGACGAAGAGCTCCTGCATGTTTTGCTTGGCCTGCTGGGGAACCTCCATGGTGGACGCCCGCCGAATGGCCGCCCGCGTGATGTGCTGCACCTTCTCCATGCCAAGGCGGGGTGGGTGGGACGATTAGTGCAGAGAGAGGGGAGAGGTGCAGAGGAGAGAGGAAGGAAGGACAGAAGTACTGCGAAGTGGAGTGGAGAGCCGTGTGGGGAGGAAGGAGGTGATCTGGTTGCCAGTGGAGACGGAGGCTGAGGGAAAGGAGCAGGAGATGAAAGAGTGAATGTGCATGCAGATTCACTCATGACATGCAGGTTTGGTAGATGTTTCAGAAGATTTTGACACTATATAGTGTCCTTAAAGCAATAGTTTATCCAAAAATGAAAGATCTCTATCATCATTAAACGAAGCGTTTGAGAGAGGCGGGGCATAGAGGACCTACAATAATGTACAGTATTTGAAAAATAATGTGTTTTTTGAACATTAAAGCATATCAACATATTCTGTTACACCAAATACACAAAATAATGATCTTTAAAAAAGCATCATATGACCCCTTTAACAGGTAGGACAGTGCCTGTTGAACTGGCTTTAGGACAGACATTATTAGCCATGCACACTAGGGCTGTGCTGATACAGTCACATATTGATATTTAAATTTTTTTTTGTCACATTATTGATCTTTCAGATATAGTATTGATATAATTTGTTACAGTTCAGAAATATGATGTCTTACAGTTCAGTGAAGATGAAGCAGGTCATCTAAAAAAGTGGAAACTTTGAAACTAGTGTTTTAGAGATGCAATACTGGACGAAAGAGAAGCAAATCAGTTTGGAACTCATCCAGATTCATTCTCTCACTGAGAGAATTTCCCATTTACTGCAGTTTCATTCGCAGTACAGTTGTAAAATGTTGATGCGTTCTTTAAATTGTCACTTATACGGTAAAAAAAAATCCACCTCTTTCAACTTAAAAACTTCAGTTGCTGCCTTAATTTTTCATAGTTGATATAATCAACTTGGTTGTGCAAGTCATTTAAATGGCATCATCAACTTATATTGCATTAAACAGGCTTTAAAAAACACGTTGAATTTCATATAACATAAAAAAAGGATGAATTGATGATTTTTTAATTTTTTCAATATTTTGTGTAATAATAGATAGCAGTATTATATATATATATATATATATAAAATTAAGAATATTTTGTGACAAAAAAAATATACTTTTTACATATTTAATATAAATTGTATACAACTATAAAATAAATTATATAAAATTTATATATAATGTTTGGTGATATTTATTTTTTTACAAAATGTATCTTTTTTATATTTCACATACTTTATATGAAATTATAAAATAAATGTGACAAATGAATAATTATCAAATTAATAAAATTAAATAATAAATGAATGCTACATTAATTAATGAATTAATAACAATAAATTATGCAGTCATATATTATTATGAAGGTGAAAATGTATTTGTAGAATAATAAGCCAGTAGCTACAAATGTTGGTATAAATACGTATAATGTATATCATTTTTGTGTAAGCATCATCATTTCTTACGTACATCTTTATTGCTTCGATATTTGCCTCAGTCCTATGCAAAAGCCAACTGGATGTGTGCAACCTGTGGTGTGGTTCCTGCTTTAACAGTCTTCTGTATGCATTTAACCTTTCCTCCTCTGCAGGGCCACAGTGAATGCAGCGAGCTCATTTGTGCTGAAATGAAGGGCTGTCAGATCTCCCAGCGGAGTGCAAATGTGGGATATTGTGTATAGGTCGGAGTCAGTCTAGGTCACATCTCCCCGATATGTGTTGGGAGAAGAACGTGTCTGGCTCGCTGTTAATCGTGAGCACACAGAGCAGCGCTTACAAAGACAGACCAAAACATCAAAACTCTGATTAATCTCTGACTCTGTGCATTCGGACACGTCGGCCACTGCTGTGTAAAGTTATGAATATCAAATACAAAGGGTAATTGATGAATAACCCTCTGATTATTTATCACAAAAATATATTGTCTGCATTCTCGCCTGTGGAAATGCATATGCATGCCTCCGTTCAATCTCAATGAGACCTTAAATCTTAAATGGTAAATAGCCTCGTCAACTAATTGATCTTAAGAAAGCCCTGTGAATTTAAGCTGGTTTCAGATTCACAGAAATCAGATGCATTTAAAAAAATAAACTTGACATGTCGTCCTAAAAATACCATGAGATGCTCATCAAACAGCGCTAGACACAAAAGTCAAATGTGATAAATGTGACAACCATTGTGGGCCATCCTGAAACTGATATACAAGAAAATGTTACCTACCTAAACTGTAGATGGAGAGTATTGGGGTTCAATCCTGTTGCTCTGGTTTTAGAGGAAAGGAGAGTTTGTGGCAGCAATGTGGCGTTCGGACGTTTATGGCAGAAAAAGTGGAGGGGTGGAGTATAGGAGGAGAGAGAAAAGAAAAGAGATGCGTAGGAGGGGTCTGAGCTCTCGCTTTCTTTCTTTCTTTCTCTCATTTTTTATTTGGAAGCAGATTTACAAGGTTTTATCCTCTCATAAGAACAGCATTTCAAAAAGAGGTTCTAATGGATAGTATTTATAATAGTATATCCTGCATTTGGATGCAAAGTTTACTGTCAGTTTTAGTTGGCAGATTAATAATATTATATATATTTATTTATTTATTTTGCAGGTCAAATATTAAATTGGAAGCAAAATTAAAATCAAATTTATCCAGGTTTAAAATAAAAAACAATTTATTTATTAAATTTAAATTTGTATTAGTTGATAGAGAGTATTAGTATTATTGTGTTATTGAAGATTTTACATCGAAGGCAAATGAAGGAAACTAGATAAATAAATAAAAAAATTAATTAATTTATGTATTGATTAATTTTGTTTACTGTAATCCTATTTACATTTGAATGAGCATGAATTAATTTTGCATGTATAAAAATGTATGAAATGTATAAAATTAACTGATTAACTTTAAAAATCATTTTTTATCTTTTTTTTTTCATGTGCATCTCTTACTTACAGATAGCTGTATATTATGGGCTTTGTCTAAATTTAATGTCACGTGACAAAAATAGTGCATTTATATCAAGGTGGTGACACATTTTGCTAAGCTTTTCCCTGCTGCGCGTGCAAAGTAGGTTCACGAACATCTAAACAAGCAAAACAGAAATATTTGCAAACAATAACTCTGCTTAATATATTGTTTTTCTTGCATTTGCACACGGTTCCCCATTACTGAGCTGTTCAGCCCTGGTTGAATTTACTCTGTAACTGTATCCAGCAGCTCTCGCTCTCACTGGCGATTCCAGTCGGTGGATTAATACAGATATTCTCTTGATGTTGCGGCCAGAACAACATGTGTTCTAAATGACCGGTTTCATTGAGGAGATCGTCTATGAGACCTATGTCCTAATAGACTATAAACATCTTCAACCTTCTTGCATTTTTGAGCTTTTTTCCCCATTGTTTGAGTTCTATTTTGAGATAAAGACATCCCAAAGTTCTTTTCCTTTTAAGGAGCTGTTCAGTAGTCAGGGAAGCTCTAAGAGCTTGAAGAGGACATGGGGAATGGAGAGGGCATTATGATGGTATCCGATTTCAGTGTAGCCTCCAGCCATTGCCAAACTCTTTTTGGCAAAGTCTGGATGATCGCCACTTGACCAAAACCATGTCAGTGTCTAAAAGTCTTTAAAATGCACACTAGATGCCGAAGTTTTAGGGTTGTGTTGTTAAAAATTATGTCCATGTGTTTCTACCAGACCTCAGCATCATCAGAAAGGTTTTGCTGTTGAGCACCACAGCTATGCTTCTAAACCAGGATTAAACAAGCATAAACCAAAACTCCTTCATGGTACAGTTCCTCAGATCTTTTTGAATGTGCATTAGTTAGCGTATTAGTTGTTCTCACTGCCATAATCCCAGTGCAACAGGACAACGTGTGTGCCATTTGGCTTGGTAGACGTGCCGTTCTTTTTGGACAAGCTCATTAAAATGGATGAGGTCAGTCCTCTCTGGTGACCTTGTCCACCGTACCTCGTTTACAGAGTGTTTATGGCGTGTAAATGCCTGGTTGCCATGTGCATGCATACACATTGTCCATTCGCCTGTGCCATGCCCTCTGGCCAGTGCTGGAAAGTTTGCTCGTTAGGTGCAATACATCCATGTCTTACCTCATCGTTCAGCTTAGCACACCCGCTCCCCGGATCCAACAGCTGTCACCAGAACACACAAACAGAGGTGCCTTTGGGTTATGACAAAGTGTGTGTGTTTATACAGTGACCCCCAAAAGCTATTCGGACACTCAAGTGACACTTAAAATGTCTAAATGTCATTTCATTACACATAAGTGGCATCTGTAAATAAATGCTGCATGAGCTTTTCTCAGAATTAACTTTTTAAATGGCAATTTAATTGCATGTACTTTTAACTAACTGGAGCCATTTAAAGTGGATGTATGAAGTCATTTCTTCTCATGTGAAAAATGTTTTGGTTGGTTTTCATTTTGACCAATATGTCTGTTGATGTATCATTTGAAACCTAAAAAAATATTTTTATCCTTAAAAAGTGTGCTTGTGCTGTCTTTCTTTCAAATAAATATAATTTGATTTTTCTTTTTTTGGTAAATCTAATCTACAGTATGTCTATGCAGTTCCATTTTTAGTGTTGCTTAAGTGACCACATTTTTTATTATTATTACTTTGAACAATGCACAGAAAAAAAATAGTGTCAAATTTTTCACGCGCAAGTAACACTGAATTAAACATGACATTTTGACGTAGAAAACCTGAAATAGTATTTTCTTGTCAAATGTACTCCAATAATCTTTGTTTTATTTACAACTAGGGATATGCCGGTATCAAATTCTCATGTTGCGATTAATTGCTAATGCTTTTATCACAGTATACGGTGTTATCACGATATTGAAATTTAGTTGAAAAAAAAGTGCTGTCATAATACAGTATAACAGGTTTAATAACATTTTTCTTATAACAAAAATAACTGAACATTTAAATGCAATAAAGCAATACAGAAAAATGTATAAAGTTAAAAGTTTTACACAGATTAAAGTGCAAAAGAACTATAAAGACCAATAGGTATCACTTTACAATAAGACCTCATTAGTTAACCTCAGTTAATGCATTAACATTCACAATGAGCAAAAGCTAATGTTAACTAATGTGTTGTGCATTTTGACCAGTTGATGGGAAAAGTATTCTTAAAATGCATTCAAAATTCGAAATAATTTGTAATATATAATTATTCACGGTATTTAGAAGTGCCCACGATATCGTGCATATTCATTACCGTGATATATCCCATTACCGAATACCGGCACAAGTCTATTTACAACTTTGAGTTGTATATTTGTTGTTTTGTCATTTGAAACTTTAAATAAACTTTTTATAAATATTTTGCTTAAAAAAGTGTGCTTGTGCAATTTTCAAATAAGTATGGTATTATTATGCTATAATAATTGTTGCCAAATCTAATGCAATGACATTCAAACATTTCAAGTGTCCAAATACTTTTTTTTATTATGAACAGTATATCTGTCGTTTTATCATTTATTCAAAAAAAATTGTTTTTATAAATATTTTATCATATTTATAGTATATAATTTCATAAAAATGTTCTTTCAAATAAATATCACTTGGTTTTTAGTCCAGTCCAATGACATTCATACATTAAGTGTAGCTTAAATGTCAAAATAAGCTTTGTCTTTATTTTGAACAATGCATCTGTTGTTTTATTATTTAAACTCCTAAAAAGAAAGGTGTGTTTCTGCAATTTTTTTCTTTCAAATAAAAATCACTTTTTGAAATATTTTGTTGGTTAATCTAATGCAAAGACATTTTTAAGCATAGCTTAATTGCCTAAATAATTTTTGGCGAAACAGTATGTTCAATTTTATATTTTTGCATTGTTTTTTATGCAGTGAGTATTCTGAATCTAGCTTTAAGTGAACACTTCAAGATATCACCTACCTGTGCTTAAAATGGACAGGTGATTCTTATATAACACACTGCTGAACTCCCTGCTGCATTACAAATGGCCACAGCACTGCCTTTATTGGCAATTCTGAGTACCACCACCTCGAAAGGAGCCAGCATGTCTCCCTTGTGTTGTCCCAGAATGCCAAGAGGTTGATGGACGGCTGTCTGGAGGGCCTTGGAGAGAGCGCAGTGGCAGGGTGTGATAGAGTTCAGGGAATTGGCACCAGATTAGCTGTGCAATGTGACAGAGTGAAACTGTTCAAGTGCTGTAGCCGAAAGGCATCAGACCTTTCCTGTGCTCTTTGCTGCATTTGAGAGAGTGGATCTGACTTTTATACTGTTCACCAAGGGCATCTGTCCTCTGTGGGAGAATTGCTCTTTTTAATGGCTACCAGACTGAGCTACATTTTTAGAGAGTCATTTTAGGTATTTTAGCTTTTGCAACTATTTTTTTTTTCCATGTCTGCTAGCTTTGAGGAATTTCTGTTGCTCCTAAACACTAACAATTAACCTATAGCAGATTTACATTTATATTTAATTGTTTTAATTATATTTACAAGGGATGCACAATACATTTAGTACCATATTTATTTATTTGAATTAAAAAAATTACATATTTAATTGCTCATTTATGCCTGTTTTTATATTCCGATTATCTTTGCCACCATCTAGTGCTTACTTAAAGTATCATTTATAATGTTTTGATTCCTTGCATTTTGAACTATTGATTTTGCTTTAGTATTTTATTTAATAGTTTTTATTATTATGTATTATTTTTTGTATATATATATATATATATATATATATATACACATACTATAATATAATTTTTATAATATTTTTACACAAAATACTATAGAATTGTTGGAATAATTGTTAGAACTTAAAATAAGAATTAGAATTATAGATTCCAGTATTAACCATAACATCAACATAATTATCTGCTTATCAGTAATGAAGTTTCAATATATGTGCATCTCCTCCTGGAAAATTGACCAAAAGTATTCAATACTTTTTGCTATGTCCTGCCCAAACCTGTTTCAATAGGAAATACATCTGCGCTTGTCAAGTGATTTATTGTGGTGTTTAATATGGATTTTTTTTTCATAGAGTTAATGTGGTAGTAGTTAATAATAGAATATGCAGAGGAGGTTTATCCATTCTCAAATGAAGACCTATTCAAAGTTGTTGACTTGAGGGGAACGAGGACCAAAGGGAGTATAAAATTAAAGACACAGCATTTTGTATCTACTGTAATGAATGAGATTCCTTCCTCAAGCAGCTGTTCCTGTCTTAGACTATTTAAATGGCCGCGTGGAAGGAGACAAACAGTGCCGTCACATGCTTTGAGAAGCAGGTGGAGGAACAAGTTTAGACTAACTCCTGACTCATAAAGCTTTTAGTTTATATAACAGCATAAGATTTGGTAAACGTAGACATTTATTCCCAGTAGGTGCCCACTTACCAAGAGGAC